AGTGCTAATTTATTCACACGTGGCGGCTAGCGATTGGCCTGTTAGCCGTATAAGAGGCTTGAGCGGTTTCCTCCCAAGCCGAAGAGGACTCCACATCCATCTTGTGGGGACTCTGGATACACGGCAGGGTAATAGAAACCCTGTGTGAGATTCAGAGGAGCTTGGCGGCCTGATCCATCGCCCACCTCTTCCCGTCTTCGAGCGCGACTTTTATAAGACGTATCTACGATTCTCATTTTGGTGGCTCGTTCACCCAGAGCATCCGGAGCTCTGCACCGTGGAGCCTAGCAAACTCCATGAGACCGTCTGTGTTGTTTGTCTGTAACTGCAACTCAAGCAAATTTTCCTGCCTACACCACTGCCATCTCGGTGTAAGTAAACAATCTTTAAAACTACCGATACGCGTCTGTGCCTAATTCCAGCTCGACGGCCTCCCCTCTCCGACCCGGCGTGCCCGGGCTGCTGGCCACAGCCCGCGTGCAGCACGGAAAAGGGCTCGGGTCGCTCCCGGCCCGCACAGTATACATGCATGTACGCACATGCATTATACACACACATTAATACCTACGCACATACACGCATGCATACACATATGCGCACAAATACGCATACACACACATGCACGTACACATGCACATGCATACATGTGTGCGCGCACATGCACATAAATACACACATGCATGTATGCACATGCAAGCATACACACGCACACTAATACATATGCACACATGCATGCATACACATACAGACACTAATACATATGCACACACACATACACACACATACACACATGTACCCGTACACACGCGTGCACGCGCACGCACATGTGTACACATGCACACACAAGTACACACATGCATACACATGTACATGAATACATGTGCACACACATGCACAAAAATACACACATCCACACAAACGTATGCATATGCACATACACACGCGCACTCACGAACATGCATGCACACACATACATACACGCATGTACGCACATGTCCACAAGCGCACACATGTATACAGCCACAGGCACGCACATGCATACACACGCACACTCGCTCCGCGCCGCAATCCCCGCTGCGGGAGGAGCGGCTCCGCAGGGCTCCTCCGCGCAGCGCTTCTCGCAGCCGCACCCCGCTGCTGCAGGTGTCCTGCGTGCCCATAACCCGGCTCTGCGGGCAGCGCTGCTCTGCTCCCGGGCAGGGGCGGGCTGAGCAGCAGCCCGGGAACCGAGAAGCTCCAGGGACCCTGCTCCATCTCCCTTAATTAATGCATTATCAGGGTATGCCCCTTAGATGGAGCTATCGGGAGCCGAAACAAGTAGACGAGGTGGCCGAGTGGTTAAGGCGATGGACTGCTAATCCATTGTGCTCTGCACGCGTGGGTTCGAATCCCATCCTCGTCGGGGAGCTCACTTTTCTCACCTGAAACTATTTCTCCGCTTTCCCTCCAGGCCCAGCCCTACCAAATAAAGTGCTGCTTCCTACTTCCTCCACACGAATAAAGCTGGCATGGAAAAGCTGCAGGCTGAGCAAGCAGCACATGCTGATTCCCTTTCATCTATGGCACAGAGGGCGAAGTTTATTCAGCCCTAGCAGACCTTGCCAGGGAGCTGGGCTGTGCTGATTTAAATGGCATTGAAAAGCAGGGAGGTAGCAGCATTCAGGAGTCCTTAAACCTGTCACCTTTTGTTCTTTGGGCTGGAATCACTGGGGTCTGTTTTATGCTTTCCCCCATAATCACTCCCGCCCGCTCTGTCCCCATCGTTTCCTCCTTTAGCTCGGTGGGACACGTCCCTGTGGCTGGGGTGGAGGACTGCGAGAGGAGCTGGAGGGGCTTGCACTGTCTGGTTCAAAGCAGAGCAATCTGGGCATCTGAACAACCTGCTGCCACATATTGCTAGCACATGGGACCAAATTGAGCTACCAGCTGCTACAACAGAGTGCAGGCCTGGCTGAGAAGCTGAGGGCATGGGGAAAGGGGCGAGGGGGTCCTGATCCTGGATGCCTTCCTGCATGACCCACCCCAGGGCAGGCAGTGCAGAGAACCCGGATCTGGCCTGCAGAGGGGAGGGAAGTAGTGGTGGGTTTTGGGACAGGAGACGTCCCTTAATTAATAAAATGTGAGTGGGCAACAGTCACCTCCCCTGAAGCGGGGAGAGGAGCGCAAGTCTGTCAGGCTTTACGGGGGGCTGGCTCTGATGGTTCCAAAAAATGCAGGCTCAGGATCATCTCATGTTGGCTTTAAAAGGTTCTGTTGAGTTAACTCGGTCTCCAGGGTGCGAACATCTAGTCATGGGAGGTTCAACCCTGTGTTGAGCAAATTACCCCACTGAATCTCACTCTATTACAGCCTTTTATTGCTCATCCAGAAAAGTATAATGGAGGAGTAATGATTGCTAGACCTCAGTCATTGGGAGATCAAGGATGAAGCAGCCAAGGGCAAGCCAAGTCCAGGCAGCAGGGAGGCCAGGTTAGGTAGAAGAGAGGGTTGTGTAAGGGGCCTGCTTGGATGGGGCTTTCCCT